AGGCAGGCTGCGGGGGTCGGCGAGACGCGAAATACCACGGGTGTACGCGGGTGCGCGATAGGTAATCGGGGCACGGGCGTCGATGGTACGCGCGAGCGGGCAGGCGAGCGCGGGAAGGATGCGGGAGCATCGAGCGTGGGCAGTAACCGCACAATTGGCGAGGAAGCGCACGAACGGGCCGACAGCAAGGGGGCGCGGACGGAAGCACGCGAACGGGGCGCACATGCGCGAGGCCTAAACCTAGTGGGCTTAGGAGTGCCGAGCGATGGGGGGCACGCGTGGGGAGGAGTTGGCGACGAGCGGGAGTGCGCGAGGAGCGATGCGTGCGAGAGTAACGGATGAGGCCTACACCTCGAAGGATTAGGAGCGCTGGGCGAACACGCGCGAGGGGAAGACCGCGGACGACGGACATGCGTGGACGATGATGCGTGCGTGACGCGCGCGCGCGATGCCACGCGCGACAAGGATTAGGTCTCGGAGGGTCGGCGCGCGCAATGGCGGTTAGGGCGTGCGCGAGGCGGCCGAACGTTTGGGCGTGTGATGTGGATTTGTTTGGAGTGCAAGCCAAGCAAAATCAAGATCTAGTCAATTAAGGACTTAGTATATTTAGTTTCCTTCTTGCACAATAATATCTAGCATGTATAGGATATTTAATATTTAATTGCTTTAATTAGTTTCCTAGGTAGATTAGAATTAGTCATAGTTAGGATCTATAAATAGGGATCATCCTCCATTGTTTTTGATAGTCTTGGAATGGAATAGAAAAGAACGTATGTTCAAACCGTGTGTTGAGAGTCGTGAGATTCTATCATACAAATCGAATTGGTGAGGCTAAGACCCAAGCCAATTCAACGATTTAGAGAGGCTAAGACCCGATCTATTTCGCGAGTGAAACGAGGCTAATAACCAAGTGAACTCAAGTATCGTGAGAGAGTTAGGCTAATAACCGAGTCGATCACACCTATCGTCGAGAGCAAGGCCGTGGCGAAGCCGTGATCGAGACAAGTCGAGGACACGAACATCCGATCCTTCATCAGCTGAGCGATGCGCGCGACGGCTGGACGCGTGACGGATGCCGTGCGATAGCTACTAGCCGAGCAAGTACTATAGGCTAAATTGATTTGCTGAAAATTTCTAAGTGTTGGGAAAAAAAGCTCTCTACTCTCTCTCGGCATTAAGGACCTAGGCGGAGAAAAATGGACGACTT